CTTTTTAAATTTGTTACTTGTACCCAGATTATAAGCTTTATGAAACATCATTTCCTGCTTCTGTTTTTCCTCTGCTCCACTTGCGTAAGAATTCACAGCCAGACTTCAAGAGCTATTCAAAATTTTGACAATGCAAAATCAATAAAAGGGCTTGACACAGTTCTCTCTGGCAAACGCATCGTCTTTTTAGGAGAAAGTTCACACACAACAAAAGAATACAGCATAGTTAAAACACAACTCATTCGTCACCTTCACGAAGAACTAAAATTTAATGTTATTTTACTTGAGAGCGGACTATCCGAATGCTACAACGCAGATAACAATCGCGATACAAAAGATAGTGCCTGGTTGCTCACACATTCTATCTACTCCATTTGGTGGTCGCAAAGTACACTGGAACTTATGGATTACATTAAAAACCAGGATTTAAATCTATCCGGTTTTGACTATCAAAAATCTGGTAAAGGCAATTCTGATTATCTAAAAAAGATCAACTGTAGTGATTCTACATTTCTGAATGAAACTTATACTTGCGACACGATATTTACAAATGGTATTTCGCGCATTTCCACCTTTACAAAAAATGCAGATGAAGTTATAAACTCATTGGAAACTATTGCCACTTCTTTGTCTGCTAATTTAAATAAGCTACGTAGTCTTGTCGGCTCCTGCCCATCATTAACCCAAAGAGATAAAAAATTCATTCTTAAAATAATTGAAAATAAACTCTACTTATTAAACAACTACAAAAACCAGGAAAAACTTTATGCGAACCGCGATTCAATTATGGCCCGCACTATTACCTGGCTTTGTGATTCCATTTATCCGAACGAAAAAATTATAGTGTGGGCGGCAAATGAACATATATCAAAACAAAGATCTTTTGCACCTTCCTTTTCTCATTTATATGCAGGCTCTGTACTTCCCGAGAGAATTAAAAGTCAAAGCTACGTGATTGGTCTTTATGCCTGGTCGGGACAAATGTACTCGACGCCAAAAAGTTTTACTATTAAAACACCCGCTAAGAAAAGTCTCGAAGGCAGGATACATGAATTAGCAAGTGGTGACAAAAATATTTTTATAGATCTTACTACATTAAAAAAAATGCCAGATTTTAAATGGTTAAACCAAAAAACGCAATCGTACAGTTGGGGCAGCTTTATAGATGAAATAATTCCTGCCCAATTTTATGATGGCATCCTATTGCTGAATAAAGTTACGTCAAGCAGAGAGTAAATAGCATACCTGTTAGTTTTCTATTGCCTTCTATCCTCTAATTATTTTTCTCTTCTGTCAAAAGCTTTACTTTTGTAGCTCACGCAATTGCCAATGACAAACGACGTAGCCGACCTTCTTTTAAAACAAGCATTTCAAAACACTAAAAGTGCCGGAGTTTGGGCCGATCTTGGATGTGGCAAAGGTTTCTTCACCGAAGCTCTGGCTAGACAACTTGCTCCGCCAGGTAAAATCTTCGCAGTAGATAAAAGTAATAGCATCTCTTTAAGTTCATCCACATACATTCAAATAGAATTTCAAAAAGCAGATTTCGAAAAAGACCATCTGACTTTACCTTCTTTAGATGGTATTCTCATGGCCAACTCACTTCACTTTGTTGAGGACAAGAAAACACT